ATACTTCAAAGCTGTATACGGGTGACACCAGTCATAATTGTGAAATTTTGTGGTGGCTTTAATGAAGGGATGGGAATGTCTTTCAGAGAAAAACAAAGTGATGTTAAGAACATTCATAATACACGAGCAGTGCGTGGAGGGTATAAAGATTGTGTGTGAAAGACATTCATGTGCTTGCAGAGCAGGAACAATTTCATTTCCTATCAGGAATGCCCACTAATCGAGCATGTCACTGGACCTGTAGAACTGACCTGTTCAAGGAAGTGCAGACTGAGAATAAATAATGCAGAAAATCCACACCGTGCTATCACTTTTGGCAAATGCAGTGGAACCTCTAAGATAAGGTGTGGATTTTCTGATTTCTAAATTTAGGAGTTGTGAGTGATATTCATTGCACCATCCAAATGAAAGTGCACTTTGTTCATTCAGATGGTATTCTAAGGCCATTCTGAATTGAATTCGAAGTGAGCAGCAAACTAAAGTGGGAACCGGAGTCAGGCTTCAAAATCGTGTGGAGGCAGCTGCTGTGCCAGTGAAAGCTTGTAATATCAGAGGATCCTCTTCAAGGTGTTTTCACAGCTGGACATGGCCCATCCAACACCTCTGTTGGCTACTAGTGCTAGCCTGAAAGTTTGAAGCTATATTCTCTACCACTTGAAGTACAACCTCTAGTGCTACTTCTGCAGAAATGGGTTTTCTTCCTCTTCAAGGCCAAACAGAAAACAATCCTGTTTCTTCGGATTTCATTTTTGTTCTTCAATGGTTTTAACATTCATTTGGACCTCTTTGAATTCCCTTCAGAGTTCAAAATTTCCATAGAACACCTACTATGGAGATACTGTTTTAGTAAAACAATTTTGCTAAGAAAGTGCCATCTGGTAAACTTGTCATTATTGTCAGCAACAAGCAAATTGAAATCAAAATCTTCATGAACATTTCTAGGCTTTATAGCAGCTGTTGTGTGCCGTTGACAAAGATTTACATTTTTACTACAGGTTTTCAAGGCAAACAGACCTCTGGTGGTGCATATTTGTAACTCATTTTTTTCGCTGAAAGAAATTCCCATCTCTTCATTAAATCTCCTGCAAAATTTAATGATTTTCTAATGACTGATTTCATCTGTAGACAGCTTAGGTAGGGTCCTTTAATTCTGGACACATTGCATATTTTGGTATTTACTGCACATTAGATATATTGTATCTTTTTTATATGTTTATTTGTTTAATAGAAGTTTATACATACAACAGGATTATAGTATTATTCAGTATAACCATATAAAAAGTTAAATTTCGTAATTTATAGTTTGTGTGTGTGTGTGCCAAGAATAAATAGCATCATAAATATTTTCATCTTAAAAAAAAAATTTATTTTGTAATTGAAAGTATATGTCCACGGCCAATGGTTGCAAAAATAAAGGCCATATAGAGGCTTCTGTGGTTGCTATATATATATATAAGAGAGAAAGAGATGGGCATAATGCAGCTGTTGCAGGCAATTGGTGTTGCTGTTATGCAGATAAAATATATATATGAAGTATAGTAAACTAAAACTAAATGTCCAAAGGAAATAATTTATTTCGCTTCTTTTTTACAAAGTTATTTTTTAAACTAATTAATTACTTTATTTCATTTCTTTGTAGTTAAGAAATTTAATAATTTTGTTCAAAAACATAGTAAATAAATAAAATAAAAATGTTTTACTGATTCAGTTAAACAATTTTGGGAAGATAATGTTTAAAAATTAGCTTAGCTTGTTGGTGCTTTACAGGATCTGCCAAATTTCTAAGTCATTAATAGTGGTAGGAACTACATTTTGGTGGTCTGTGAGTGGAACAAAAACAGAACATTGCTAATTTCACACTTTTAAGACCTTATGATGGTCTCACCTTTGACTTTATGGTGGAACTTTTCACCCACTTGCAAACAATAGAAACTGATGGCAGTGACATCATGATTTGGAGCGTCAATCCACTTTATCCACTCTCCATGTCTAAATCCTTTGAATTGTTTATTGACAAATTTCCAGAAGTTGCAATAGAGAAGTCAGTCAACTAGGTGTCACAGCTAGATGCATCTTCAGGCCCATAGGAAGGGATTTTGCTGACTTCATTTATATGGGCTTTAAACTGAATTCACAGTGATGTGGGCAGTTTTTTTCAGGTGTCCACCTGGATGCCTGTACCACACTTCTTGTAACCACAGCTTCGTACTTTCTACATCCATCCATCTGTTGTGATGAACATAAATACAAATTCCATGTGGAGTTTCACATTTAGTTTTCATGTAAGGATTCACAAAGCAGGGAATTTTAAACTGTCAGCGCAATGTGCAAGAACAGCAGTATAACGTATCTTCTCATTACAAAGTCTTCATTCCAAATCATTACTTCTTAGCACCTTTAAGACCCACTGTTCTATTTGATGGCATATCATACATGAAAGGTGTCTATCCATGATTCCTATTTGTTTTATTTTAAAACACATATTTTTTTCTCGAGTTCATGATATATTTTGTGAAATTTCTTGTTTTATATTCAATTGGGAGGTTTTGTGGCTCTTGAACATGAAACAAAGTGTCATGAATTTGTCGCACCATGATGACGTACTAGGGAAATTGGCAATAGACATATCTGGGTTCTAATGTAGAATTGGGTGCTCCTTCGATTATCGACAATTTTTTTAAAATTTTGGTGATGAAACCTCACTTCTGGTTACCATGATAGTTTTAACTTTAGTTTGTTTTAGCTTCCTGATTATCCTAACTGTTTTAGCTTCCTGATTTTATTTAAATGAAAATAGATTGATGTGTACGTGGACAAATTTAAGGCAGTGCACAATGCCTAGTTTGCTCCTTGTTAACAAGATCTCGCTTTGCAAATCTATGACGGTGCAAAAAGATGGAAAATGTTAGATGGCTTTGAAAGTGAAACTACGTTATCCTTGATTCAAATTGACTTGGCAGCCTCACATCAAGAAAATAATATTTAATGCAAAGGTTATCTTGTCCATTGTTAATCAGGTCTTGCTTTACAAATCTATGATAAGGCCTGTTCTTACCTATGCTAGTTCCATATAAAGAACAGCTGCACCGACAAACAGAAGACATATCCAACTTTTCCAAAGTAAAATGCTTCAGGAAATTTTGAATGCTCTGTAGTTGATAAAAGACAAAGATATGTATAATGACTCCATAATTTTATTCGTATGTCACTTTATACAGTGTCTTTTGGTTAATTTTTTCCAATAGATTACTGGAAACCCCCTTCTGCATTCGTTGCTTATTTATCATCCTGGAATTAGATCATTTAAGAAAAGGCCATGTGCAGTCTTAAATGATTCTTGCAATGAATTCTCCATGGGAAATGGAGATATGTCCCTTCCCATGGGAAATGGAGACAAGCTATGGAAACAAGACATCCCAAAGTTATTCCTTTTGTTATTCGATGCATCCCCCACCCATGCAAATTCGCTGGCTTAATCCATCTGGGGCCTTTGTCTTTGTTCCGCAAGAGGGAATGCTGTTATCTTTTCAACCGTAACTGGTTTCCTGTAAAGAGGTTCTTTATGTAATGAAATTAACTCTTAAAAGAGGTATTTAACTTAATCGACTTCAAACTATTAATGCTGTTGCTAAATTAGACTGCAGAGTTTTTCCTGAGTTAGTCTGACCACAGGCTCTTTATCTGAACTTCCCTAATGAGTTCCCCCATTCCTAGACTCGAATCCTTTGCTATGTCAAGTCATTGACTTACATGGGTAGTTCTCATATTGTTTACACCACAATATCATTGATTAAGGAAATATTGTCTTTTAAATTTATTCAAAATTTATGATTTTTACCCATTCCAAAATAATTCTGGCTTTTATTATTGGACCTCAAAATTCTTTACAGTTCACTGTTGACATGTGTTTTTACATATATTTTACTCTCAGAAGGCAGTATATTTTGTAATAAATGTAGCATTTCAATTCAGCACACTAAATTTACCCTACTTGAAAAACTCCACTTTTGATGTAAATTTTTAATCTTTGATTATGTGGGGATAAAATGCCTAAGTGCCTCGAACGAAGAATCGTTCCTTGATCTTGTTATTGGTGCATCATAATTTTGAGCAATAAATAATGCTGTTTATTTTATTAATTTACATTTAATTTGCATATTACTAAACCAGAACTTTATATAATTTTATCCATTTAATAAAAATGATGCATCTGAAAGCAATACATTTAAATAAGTGCTATGAAAATTATTTTCTAAGCTACTTTAAAATTCTCCTTTTGGTTGGCTTAAAACAGTGTTATTATCAACATTTGAAATAAAAGCAACCATTTTCTTTGCCTGATTTCGGAAAAAAATATTTAATAGTATTTTTCCTGGTGAATCAGCTTGCATCTTAGAGGATGAAGTAATACCCATAAGATTAGAGTAAAAAAAATGTGTCTTATGGGCAAGGAAATACGGTACATATATATATAGAGAGAGAGAGAGAGAGAATTAATTTTTGATACTGTCTATTAGTTTTATATTCTTGTAAATATTTTTGCATAAAGCTCCTAGATGTTGTTAAATTGTTTTAAATTTGTTCAAACAAATACATCATGTTAATTGTAAGAAATTAGTGAAAAAATTACTAGTAAAAATCTCTAGAAACTTTCATGATTATGTATGCAAAAGGTTTGTGTGGTAGTTGGAGAAAGTATACCTCAGAATGATGCTGTGACAAAATAGGTATATATAGATGTTTATATTTTAACGCATTATTTTTGCTGTGAGATTTTAATGATGGACATACATATTGGACAAAAAATTAAATGCATAAGATTTGTTAGTCAAGATTGCAACATATACATGCAAAGATTTCTGAAACATTTTGGAACAGAATGGAAGTTAACAACCACTATAGTTGCCTGCTTGCAATTTTTTCTCCTTTTTTTTTTGCACTTTGAGTTTAGTTTGCTTGACTGTTCTGTGACTGACCCCTTGTCCCTCTACATGCCTCAGTATGACCAGTTGTCTGGGGGACATCTCATGGGGCATGTGGGATCTAAAATGCACTACCAGGCCTGAATGTCCCTTCCTTCCCAGCCGGATGCTGACCTCACCTGTGCCACCAAGTTCTAAGATGGTTGGAGAGTCATCATTTCTACCTGGCAAATGAAATAGGATCTTACCTTATTTTTCTTGTTCATATCTGTTTCACTGAGTTCAAGAGGAGTTCACCCCCAGTGGATGTGTCAGGAGCAGAAAACCAAAGTAGCTGTTACTCAGAGATTCATTTGTTTGGAGTTTTAGCAAGGTGAACAATAGAATAAGCCTTCTATTTATAATATCAGTGTCTTATGGGTAATAAGCTCAAAATGGGTGCATGCAACTTTAATTTACGTATTAGGCCAATGTAATAATTTATTTGGTCTTTGATTTCTGTACTTTTAAAGATTACATGTGCATTTGTTGCATATTTATAGTATAATAGTCAGTCAGTGGGCACAGTGGTGCCTTTGTGAAATAATTTGTATATCTTATTGATATAAGTATTGATGTTCAGCTTCTTAATCATGATACTCCAAGACTATCAAAATTAGAGCAGGTAAGATTTTAAGAATAGTATGTAAAGAATCTTCAAAAATGAGGATTCTGGGAGAAAATGGAAGTATAACGTATGGACTAATGCAGTTAGCGTTTAATATTATTAAAAGAAATTATCAAATTTTCACATACAGTATGTATTTTTCATATTTTAATTGTGAATATAATCTGAATTAAGAGGTAAAAGTATTTTGCATTCTCCGCTGTATTTTTCAGTATGTCTTTGGGTATCATGCTACTTTTGAAATTGTATGTTTGAGTTGTATATTATCATCAGATAAATTGTTGAATGTATTATGTTGCCCATCTAAAAAAATTAGATATTTGTGTGTGTATTTAGAAAAAGAAATTTTGCTATAGCTGGAATAATTCTGTGCCATTTTAAAATTACATTTTTTATGCATTCATAAATGCAATGCTGTGTAGAAAGATATTGTTTTTATGAAATATTGTAAGTTGTTTTGAAAAATATATACTATTGGCATAATGTCATTTGCAAGTGGTGCTCAGTTGGTCACTGGGACTCAACCACATTTTTTTAGAACTGTCTTCAATTTTTTTGTATATTGAATGTTGCACGTAGATGAATTATAAATAGCAGCATGAAGCAGTGTCTTCTCTCCTTTCACTGCTCAATGTAAATATAATGTTTAGCATTTAGAATTTTGTTGTATGATTGACTAAAGTAATGTCTAGATGTCTAATTAAATTATAATCCTGTTGTACATTAAAACCTTTTATACGGCTCCATCGTCCACATCCTTTTTCTTAGCATCATTTACATTCAAGCGATGATGTTCATTGGAATTAAGTTCATTCATGTGCTGATCAAGTGTTTTTATCTTGGCTGTTAATGTGATGAAATAAAAAAAAAGAAAAAGGAAAAAAAAAAAATTAAGTGACATGTTTGTAAAAGTGTTGTCAGATGTTTTATCATAATATTCAACTTTTAAAAGGAAAATAAGTTAAAACCTGTTTATATACTGTTCCCGTATCTCCTAGTGATTTTGTTTATGCTGATTTGGAATGGTGAAAAAAGAAATGCATAGTGTCATTCAAAATTAAATTTGTAATTTGCTCTGAATTGAATATTCATATGTAGATCTTATGTAATGATATTAATTATTTCTAAACAGAGAAATTTAATAAACTGCATATATTGAAAAATAATTGGTTATTATGTTTTCGATTAATTTATTTTGTTCAAATGGACATTAAGATATAATTATTTAGAGTTTATGTTTATCATAAAAAAGTATTCTACCTTACATCAATGTCAGTTTCAAAATTAAGTAAAAAAAAAAGTGTATTGGATACACTATAATCGATTCCTCAAAATTAGCGATAAAAAAAAATATTATACTTTATATCAATGTCAGTCGCAAAATTAAGTGAAAAGTTATTGGATGGAATATTATTTATTCCTCAAAATATGCACAGCTTCTTTCAAAATGGATATAGATTTTTTTCTCCTAAAATAAATACTAATTGAAGGTTGAAATTTGCCTCTTACATATTATTTTGCAACAATTTTTACATATGAATTTTTGGCATTATGTGTAATGCAGAACGTAAAACAACTGCATTATTTCTGTACAACTACTTAAGTCTGGGAATTTGTCAAATGGCACACTAGGTATATCAGAATGCTGTTGCTAATTTTAGCAATACTGGCAAGGGCCACCTTATGGTTGCATGTACTCAGAGGTATGATAATAACTTTGTTTTTAAAAAAAAAGGTGTCTCAAAATGATGATGCTTAAATGTCTGATAGGAATATATATATATATATATATATATACTGATAGTAATGGGTTGTATGATTTGTTAAGGGTAAAAATATTTTGAGCACACTTAAGTGCAAGAAAGAATTATCAAAGGCATTTGTGTACTATCCCTGTGTTTTAGATAAATCTTACTTTGCAATATAGGCCATTTTCAGTATATGCTTAGTATGTTCATTTGCTATCCCCTTTTTTAAAAAAAGTTTTAAGTCAGTTTTTATTCAAATTTCACATGTAACATGTTAAAATATATAAAAGTAAATATACTATGTGAGTAGTGTTTTGACCCTTTGAGTGGCAGAGCCTTTTGGATCTGCTAATGAAAAATTGTATTTAAACAACTTCTATTATCTGTATTTGTATCATTACTTATTCTAGTCTGTTACCATTCTACACTATCATTTGTTAAGATGATATTTTACATAACTAAGAAAATAAAATAAGTTACTATTATGTACGTACTAAAGTGTAAAAAAATCTCATGGCTGAATAAAGGCAATTATGCCAGTCAGATTAATAAAAGAAAAGGAAAAAAGATATGCATTTTTTTAACAGAATTGTGCTCAGAATTGTATGGAACATATTAAAAAGTACTAAATTTATGCATAATACTTAAATAAATGGTAACTGTTCCAGGTACTTTAAAATTCTTCATCAAAAAGTTACTCTGTTTAGCCAACAAAATATACAAAAATGTCTTGTTTGGTTTAGAAGTCACTTTAGTATGAAATATTGAATTGCAGCTATTCTACTTCAAGTAGGTTCATAAAGAATTAACACTAGATGCATTGCAATAATAATTTGGTGAATCGGTAATCAAGCTGAGCATATTATGAGAGATCTTTTGGTTCAGTATAGTTTTCTTTTCTTGGTTTTGTAGCTTAGAGAATTTTAAATATTTTTTACCTTTCTCATATCACAAGAAAAAAAGAAACTTTAGAAATGCATTATTTAAATTGGTATAATGTTAAATATTTTAGACCTTCGTCATATCACCTCAAAGTAAGAATTGTTTATTTTTTTTTTTTTTTTTTTTTTTTTTTGTTTTGTTCATAAAATACTAACGAATTCTTTTCCACAATTCTATAACATTTTTTTACAACAATTAAGATTATTTGAAGTGTGTTCATTATTATTGCAATACGGTTATTATTTTCACACACTTAAAAATTACTGCCTTTGAAAGTAATGAAATTTCCTTTATAGTGGATATTGTTACATATTTTAAAATGTGCAGTACACTTTGTGATGTTCTACTTATGGATTTGAAGAGGAAAAGCATCAATATTATGCATATGCTGTATAGTTTTAATTCAAATTATTGTTTTTGAACATTAAATTAAGTTGTGAGTCCCTCCCCCCTCTATTTATGTTAAATTTTTCTTGTTGAAGATACAAAAAGCAATCTATCATATGTGCTGTCATCATGTCTTGTGCAAGAACATCATATTCATCACCTTATAACAGTTACAGAAAGTACAAACTTAAATTCATACTGAATCATTCACAGGAATCTTTTACTATATATAATTGTAATAGGCTTTTATTATTCTTGATCTCATTGTGACTTTTTACATAAATTCTATCTAGTTATTATTACTGCTGAGCCTTGTGAAGTGAAAAGCTTGTGCCAAAGTAAATTGCAAATTTACATTTTTGAAAGAGATTGCTTTGAGCCATGTTTTCAAGTGGCTTAAACAGTTTAACGTTATATGCTTATTATAATGATATAACAGCAAACTTTAAGCATGAACATATATATTATTAACTTTTGAGCATCTGATTGAATTCTGGTGGCTTAATTTTAAAAAGAAAACATAGTTATTTGTGTGATGCCCTTATAAGTTCTTTGGTGTTTCTTACTGTATTAATAAGCTTTTTAATAAACATAAGATTAAAGGTGAAATATATAAGTAAAGAAGTAAAAATACATTATTATATATATATATATATATTTTAGCATATACAGTAACTTAAAAAAAATTATATGTAACCATGACAAAAATAATTAATGTTAATTTTGAATATTTGACTGTTTTTGTCATAGTTAAATTTAAGTAAAAAATTTCTTTCTCTTGTATTAGCATTTCATAGTTGTAATTTTCTTTTTAATATTTGAATTTTATATTCTTGTTTGATATGTTTGTTGAATGTTTAGTATATGCCCTGGTGAGCGACCTGTGTCTACACCATAAAATGCTTTCCGATTAATTTGTTGCCTTTGACTGTGATAGGTTTCTTTTATTGTCTATTTATACCATTTATACCATGATATCCTGAGTTATTTTGTGTGTTTTGTAGTTTGTTAATTTGTATAAGTGGATGTCAGTATTTGTGTATCCTGTACACTCTTGAAATATTCTTCATATCACAATCCTGAACATTTTTTATAGATAAAGTAGTAACAGCTATGAATTAAAGTAATATTTAACAAAGTATAAAATCTAGTGAATTGTAATGGCATTTTAGTTATTTTTAAAACAAACCTCTTTTGCACATAAATGCGCACATATTAAGTAGATTGTAATTCATTGTATAATTTACAGTTAACTGTTAGTAGTCGTGTTTGACATTAAATTTTCATTTTATTAGAAGCTCAATTTATAAAACAAATTGTTGAGTTTTGGTTTAAATTCTTACCTACAAAAATGTCATAGTCAGCAACATATTTAATGATCTAAACAGTAAAGCTTGTACCTATTTAAAAGCATGAAACATTATTTACCTATTATGCTGTTTTGCATCTATTCCCCTTTTAAAAGTTACTGAATTTTGTTTTTCTTATCAAAAACATGAGCATACTTTAAATTTTAAAATTCTGTATTTTTTATGGATTGTTGAGTGTGCATAATTATACCAAACTGCATTTTTTAACTCAGGTTAATTTGAAGTATTCCATTTTAAAAGTTGACATATTTTTTTAATCCTGAACCATTCCTGAACTGATTTCTGTATATTTATATTAACATGTATAATCCTCTTTATTTTTAATCCATAATATTATGTATTTGTTTTAAATGTTCTAATTTGATAATTTGGGGGAAGAGATTTATTTATTCACATGTAGTATATATCTGCATTACTTTGCTATGACATTGCTCCTGATCCATGTCTAAAGACTGAATGAAATGTATCTTTTCCCCTCTTAATCGTCCTTTACCATTCCATCATTAAAATGGATATGATTGTAGCTAAAAATCATTAACATTAATGATGTTTCAAAACATATAAATATGCTATAATTTGAATGATTTATAATTCAAGCAGTTGTTTATAAAGGAACATATATTTATTAGTAATGGTTTTTGTTATTGAAGACTTATTTCACATATTTAAAATAGTAAATGAAAAATACTCATCTAATTATAATTGTGCATTTAATTGAAAATAAGCCTAATGAACAAAATGTGTTTTTACTATGCCTTTTTCTTACACAGACAGGTTTTTTTTTTAATAGTGTAAGTTTGGAATTTTATGTGAAAATTTTGCTTACTGTTCATGTTTACAATGTGTGTTTTTATACTTTTTATTATAAATTTCTTTATTTTTATATTTAAGATTCAAGCAGTTTTCAAAAAAAAAATAAATAAATAAAGTGCAGTATTTTAAACATTTACTTCGTTTTGAAATAAAACACTTATTAATTTTGTAAATGATAAATGTATGAAAAACAAGCAGAAAATTTTTAAAATTATTAATTGCATATGAAATCTAATATGATAAATGATAAACTTTTTATAAATGCGGTTTTCATTTTGCATATAATTTTTACCTCATTGTAGACGAGTATGTTAGTATTTACATGTATTTTATTTCAGTAGCATTTTTGACCACTATGAAAAATAACCCCTTCTGATATTTGTCGCATTGTGCAGCTGTTGCTCATTTGCTGAGATATTGTATGCAGCCTATTCTTTTTTGTGATAAAAATCTAAAAAATGAAACTTTTCCCCCCTCTTTATTTGTGTTATGGTATTTTTCTTATTCAGTATGCATTGTGAAGAACTACACATGAGTACTTTGTAAATTGTTAGTATTATTTGCCATTACAAATATACATACACACTCATACATATAAAAGCATAAAATATGTTTCACTAAAAAGATTTTTCTAAGCAGTATTGATATATATTCATAAAATTTTCAGTTCAAATTTTTCTGTAATGGAAATACTGAAGTTTTCCAGAAGTACCACCTGAAAAATAGAGAATTACATACATAATGTTTACATAATGAAATATAAAATGAATGACCTGACAGCATAAAATATATATTTTTAGTGCTCATTGACAGCAAACGTGTAATTAATAAAAATGGAAATACGTTTCCTCAACAAATATAAAACTACCATGTTTAAAAAACATATCACAACAAGGTTAAAGCTAAATGTATTTTGAACCGATGGGTAATTTTAATACTAAATGTGAAAAAATTTAAACTTGCATAAAGGAGCATCTTCACGATTGTTTTGCACACGGAAATCAAGTACTTTTAAGGACCATTAATGAAAAAATTAAGGACTTATGAGCAAATGGGAACTGAATAAATTCAATTAAAAATATTATCTATGCCTGAATTTCACTTTTGTAATACCATCTAAAAAATAAAATAGATCCCTAAGTAGTATGCAATATTATTAAACTTGAATTAACATAATTATTAATAAGTTTGAGAATAAAATAAACTTTATGCAATTTATCAAGTAGCATTAAATATTTTACACTTATAATAGTTGGACATATTTGAAAGAAAAGTGACATTTACGTTTGACTAACAGTTAGCTTTATGTTGATTTTTTTATGCCTCATTTTGTCACATTCTTGCTTTCGTAAATAGCAGGTAGATTTTGTCAAACGCCATAAGTTAAAATAAGAAGTAAAGATCATAATCAGCATGATTCATAACAAAAGACTGAATGTTGTCACCGCTGCTGCTAATCTAGAGAGAGACCTGCTGATTTGAACAAACCTAAAAGGCGTGATGTAGGCACAGTTGGCAAGTGTGTTGAAAGTCAGTCAGGCTCTTTTTGATGCAGTTAGTGTTGTAGCTATCTGTCTAAAGGAAGGGATGCCTTCGTGGAGGACTTTCTAAGGGAAATTTGCTCGTATACATGTTACACATGGGGAAAACCATGAAAACAAAACATGCAGCCAACCCGTTCGCAGGATTTGAACCTCGGACTGAACTACCGTTCAGCATCTTTACCACTCGGCCGCTGGTGGACCCGACCACAGTGAGTATTGATGAAAGACAATAATTTGCTTTAATATGTAGAGAAAATTTTTAAGCATAAACAGTTATCAATAATTAAATTAGGTAGGTTAATAGCCTTAGTCATTATGAATTTATATGGCCACTATTAAATTATATTTTTTAAAAAAGCCCTATCAAAATCTAATAAAAAATTTCCAGAAAAAAGTTCCAGAAAGAGTTTAAAATACATATAATTTATGGCATTGATTCTTAAACGATATTAGGATAATTACACATTAAAAGCTACAAAACATTTATGTTTTGTTACAACAACACTCAACAAGATATTTATTCGTCATTTTAATTTGAAGCCTTACCAGACATTTTGGTTAGTTTATATCTTCCTTCTCTTTAAGCACCTTTTCTAACAATTAGAGATTTGTCTCAATATGCAAAAACCAATGCTCTTGCTAGTTTCTGCGTGCTTTATCTCCTAATTTATCAACCTCTCCACAATGTACCTATGAGGGTTTATTTGATCTGGTTAAAGTTAAATAGTCCAAACCCCTTGACAGACGTGAAGCATGTTATCGCTATTTCTGAAAGTAACTGCAATATCAGACAAAGGTTTAAATAAGCCTCTTATTTAAAAAGAACTTAAAGGCATGTTCTGATGCTAACAAAATCAATTACAGCTCACGGTGACATAATTAAACAAGAACAGTCAAATTCAAACTAAAAATGTGGAATAGTAGTCAAAGATTGTACAATTTAGTTTTAATTTAACCATCTAAGCGGAAAGGCCATATATATACGGCTTAGAATATTTTTTGTGGTATTTGTAAGAATGTATATACAGTTAAAAGTCTTTAATCCGGACTCGTCGGGACTTTGGCGATTCCGTATTATAGATCATCAGTTTAAATCTGGTAAGATGGCATGCTGAAATTATAAAATTAAAAATATGAAACCATAATTTATGAAATAAAGAGCAATTATGATCTAAAGGGTATCAAACTATACAAAAAAAAAAGCTTAATATTTATTTGTTTACTTTATTAAACATTTCTTTCAACGTGCGCATGCGTAAAGCATGCATTATGCATAGCCGAAATTAGAAAATTGCAACCAGAAAACTATTTGATTTGTATTGGTGATATTTATAATGACTAGGAATTTGATTTAAATCATATCAAAGACAGTACATCGAGATGAAATACTTAGTAAGGAATTATAAGCCGAATAAAATAAAAACATCTGCCCTGAAGATAAGGATAGTGCTGACAGATCAACTTCCAGTTCATTGGGTGCCGCAAACTTTCAGAAAACTATAATTTCAAAATCTTTCAACTGTTCTATTTGCAAAAAGTGTTTTTCAAATGCCAGCCATTTATAGCATCATTTGAAGAACATGCATTCCAATAAAAAGCATATTTCTACTGCTGAAATATCTAATTCAAATTCAGATCATGCATTTTATGAAGTCGTCAATGGTAATTCGATTTCATATACTCTTGCTCCAAAATCCAGTATAACTTCAAAAAACTTTTAGCTGCCCTGATTCCAAAAAAAAAAAAAAAAAAGTTTCTCAAATAACAGCAATCTAAAATGTCACTGCATGAAATTGCATATGTCACAACAAACAACATTACTCAAAGCAAGTAAAAATAAAGTTTTCCAATTTAAATGCAGTTTATATAGTCGTCAGTTCAACAATAATAAAAATTTATAATTTTCACAATCAGATAGTGCATTTACTGCCCTTGAGTGTTCATCATAAAAATATTATATAAATGCCCATTATACAGTGAATGTTTTCCAAAGGAAAACTTTTCATTACATTTGCAAATGGAACATGAAATAGTCACTGAAAAAAAAGAAAAGAGATTTCTCTGTGTTTAATGATTTCATGTTGTGGAAGGAGAATTTTGAAATGGAAACAATCTAATTTTTTTTAATTTACAAAAGAACATGACCAATTGCATGTAAAAGATATTTATTTTGTATGCCATCATTCAGGACATTATACTATATCTAAAGTGCAAGGCATGAGACATTTAAAAATACAAGGGAGTAACAAAATTAATGCTCATTGCCCAGTAAAGTAAGCCAGTTTAATAATGGAAAATGTACTGCTTATATAGAAAAACCCATTGCAAGTCATAGAAAGGGTATAGGGCATCTGTCACTTACAAAATTAGAATAGCAGTTAAGCCGTTCTAATGTTAATTTATGTAACTTAAATTGCTGGAAAAGTCTCTTCATTCAAGATTTTGTATATAATACTGGGCTTGGGAGATTGCATCTTTTGACAAAATGATTTATGGAATATTGAAAATTCGGTACTCTTCCGTTATCAGGACCAATTCAGACATGTATGCATGTATGGCTGGATGGATGCGTTCATGTATGCATATATATGTGTACTATGAATGTCTGTGTGTGTATACACACACGCATATATGCCCATACATTTCTGAATCTGGTGCCAGTAACAGAAGAGTACCGAAAATTCTTATAATCTACAGTCAAATGCTGTAAAGCATAAAAATGATTGTATAAATGTTAATGAAATTACTAGTGAGGATAACAACTGTATTTTATTTTACAAGCCTCAAAATAGAATTTTAGAAAGTTATCCTGAATTTTAAAATGATGATTTCGCATAAATGAAAATGAATGACTCCCAGAGGCACTTTCTACAGAAGTTGGGATCAGACTATATATGTATAAACTAGCGGGCAAGCCCGCTTATCATTGTTCGTTTCTAAAAGAATTCCCATATTCAATTTTGAAGGTATTCGAAAGTTGGACCGAACTACCAGTGTTCAGGGGTTTTGCGCGTCTTCCCCCACTTTATTCACGTATGCATCGAGAAGATACTGCATACACGTTACACATACGAAAACACCCATGCTCCCAGCCCGCTGGCCGGGATTCGAAAGTTGAACCGAACTGCCAGTGTCCGGCGGTTTTGTGCGGGCTGCACTATTAAAGTATGCATCCAGAATATATTGCATACACGACACGCATGCGGAAAATCACGAAAACACTCATAGAGCCAGCCCGTTGGCCTTTATTCCAAAGTTCGTCCGAACAACCAGTGTCCAGCGATTTTACCCAGGCTGCGCCCGCTTTATTCACGTATGCATCCAAAAGATACTGCATACACATTGCGGAAAATCATGAAAACATACATGGAGGCAGCCCATTCGCCGGGATTCGAAAGTTGGATCGAACTACCAGTGATCAGCAGATTTGTGCGGGCTTAGCCCGCTCTATTCTCGTTTCCATCCAGAAGATACTGCATACATGATACACATGTGTTAAAGTCACTGAACATGCGTAAGTCACATGCGTAAAGTCACTGAACGCTGGTAGTTTGGTCCGAGGTTCAAGTCCCTCAAACGGGCTGGCTGCATGGGCATTTCCATGTTTTTCCCCATGTGTAATGTGTATACAAGCCAGTTTCCCTTAGAATGTCCTCCACAAAGGCATCCCTCCCCTTAGGCAGCTAGCCATCAAGTGCTTTGTCATAATAAAATAAACTAAACCAACAAACTAGTTTTGATTCAAAAGTCTTCCATGAAGGTATTTCTTCCCCCACATGATCTTTGTCATATTCCAGTTCCAACAATCAAATCAACACATTGTTGTTTAACTACTTAATTTGAAGGTTTTTGGGCCCACCAGCGCCCAAGCGAGCGCTAAGGTCACTGAACACTGGTAGTTCGGTCCAAGGTTCGAATCCCGTGAACAGGCTGGC